CGTGTTCGTACGCCAGCAGCGGCCCGCCCTTTTTTGCTCGCGGCACTTCCAACGGACCGGCGGCGTGGCCTTGATCGAGAAAGAAGCCACGTCGGCGGCGCCGCCTTTGAGCTCGCCCGCACCCGTTGGGCCGCGTCACGCGCAGGGCGCGGTACTCGGTCGAGCCGGCCATCTTGTGGCGCTTCTTGAATCCGACGTGGCCGAGGTTACTGCGCCGGACGGACTCGAGGTAGAAGGGGAAGTTGGACTGCATGACCGCCGTCGGCCGCGACAGGTTGTACAGATGCTTTTTGGCGCGCCGCAACCTCGGGGCCCCGATCGCCCGCGGTAGCGACGCCGGCGCGGCGGACGTGGTAGTCGAGGCGCGAGAGCTCGACCTTCTGGTGCGATGGCGTGAGGTGGCCGAGGGCGAGGGAGAGTTCGTAGAGGGGTGGTGATGTGATGGAGGCGGTGCTGTGGATGGTGGTGCCCGCGAGGAGCAGCGTCTCGGGGGGTATCACGTCGTCTTGGGCCGTGGATGCCGTGTCGGCGTACGCAGGCAGGCCGTTGTCGGATGATGCCGAGGGCGAGCGTGACCGTCCTCCATGGCCCAAATTGGCATCGAGCATCTTGCTCGGCTTGCTAGCCATGGTGTCGTGGGTGCTGTGCTAGACGCTGATGCGGCCGGTGATTTATTGCAGTGATTTGTTGCAGTACCAACGAAGAGGACTGACGGGGGTAAAAACGGCCATTCAACAAAAGGAGTTGTCTTGCGTCACGGATGGGGTGCGCTTGGTCCGACAGTCGATGTTTAATGACTCTTGGCAGATCGCGACCAAGTGGCTCAGCTATCACAGCACATCACTCTGAAGGCTCACGGTCTGTGATGTGATGAGAGCACCATGGTTTTAGAGGCCTCCATCTCGGCCTCGGCATCAATCTTATTAGCGTGACAGAGCTGGCGTGACCAGGTTTTCTCAAGAAATAACACACCATCATACGAATGGAGATGTAGGCTGGAACAGCTCGTCATCGTGCAGCAGATGCCTTGATGGTGAATACCGGCAGGAGACATGGCTCAGGCATCAAGCCGCTAGGCCTCCAAATTAGGCCGTAGGGGTTCCCTTCTGGGTCATCGCTCAGCGGTCGCTGTCCATCTGGGCCTGCTGCTTGTGGTAAAACCTACTGCAGTGCAGCGGTCAGAGAGCGCTAAGCCTCTGTAAGCACCGAGATGATCCATAGGGCCCCACTAAGGCAGGCAGCAGGCCCCCCTTGGGACCGCGCCTTACCTCGCAACATGTGTGATCGAGACCAGACCGTCTGGCACAAACTCCTAATCTAAACATCGCCATCCCCCAGCTCACGCACGCCAAACAATGACATTACACACATGTCGCTCGCGGCACCTACCGATGCTCCGGGAGAGGGCCTGGTCCCCCCTCCACCCCCATCTCCAATAACCTTCGTCCGCGACGTTGAGCCCTTTGTCCCGACGCCCCTCATCGCCGACCTCCTGCGCACTCGCTACTGCATTCCTGACTCCATCTTTCTCGTCGAGGGCATCGAGTCGGCACCCCTCGCCCCGTCAAGTCGATGGCGCGTCGTGCGTCTCATGCTGGGCGACGGCGAGCTCTGCATACAGGCCCTCCTGGTGCCCGAAATGCATCGCTTCGTCGACACCGGCTCCGTCACCGTCGGGTCCTACGTTAAGCTGCCCACTTTTGCAACGCGCAGGATGCAGATTACTACCGAAGATGGAAAGGGGAGACAGAAAATGGTCTATCTTGTGGTGAGCGACATCATGACTGTCGGCTGGCACAATGCGTTGCGCGAGGCTGCGAGACACGAAGCACTCGACGGTGGCGATGATGAGCTGGCCCAGGAGGAACAGCAATCACTCACACAGAGGCATTCTCGTGGGCTGCCAACCGAAGGAGATGAAGAGGACTTGATCGCAGATAGCGATATTGACTTTGAAGACGTCGAGCACGCGCTGGACCAAGCGCAGGCATTGACTGCGGCGACGTCTACGCGTCCCCGCGTCAGAGGTCAGGCTGCCCAGTCCCCCAGTCGCTACGACGGCGACTCAGATGACGAGGCCGCCTTTGAGACCATGATCGTAACCCCAACGAGGTCGACCCAGCGTCGCGAGCGTCTTGCCAACGCGATCCAGGCGTCTGCGAGCGCTCGGGTGTCGACATTGCCCGAGGATCGCGATGTGTCACCGTCAAGAGCTGCTCGAGGTAGAGGCCATCCAGGACATGAGGACAAAACCCACGATGAAAGCAACACCAATGTTCAAAAAGTTGCTTCGCCACCCAGATCATCACGCGCACAGCCTGGGTCTCAGCGTCCGCCAGTGGCTTTGGCTAGGCAGTGGACGGACACTTCTATTCCCCTGAAGCTCACTCCTCTCCGTGCGATCAACAGCCTGCCGTACAAACAAAACTGGTCCATAAACGTTCTGGCCATTGTTACCGCGCTCAGTGGCATTGAACCATCGCATATCCCTCCCTACCAACAACGCATCGCGCGCCTCGCCGACCCTTCCACTGACAAGCACGTCATGCTAGCCTGTATGCTGGAACCTAAAGACTTCTCCCCTCAAGTTGGCAGCGCTGTGCTCCTCGTTGGCGTTAAGAACCATCTCTTCGACGGTGGAAGCCTGAAGAAGTACATCAGCGACAAGCCAACGACACAAGGTGGGCAGTGGTGGTTCCAGAACCCATCACGGTTTGCATGGTGTGACGCAGATGGCCTGCAAAAATGGTGGGACGAGCATGAATCGGCAAGAGACAACAAGTAGCAAGTACGCGTGGTCCGTTCTTGTAACGCTGTTCATTCCTACCACACCACTACTTCCACGCGACCGTCACTCCGTTCTCGTGGGACTCCCTCGCCAGCTCGATCACGCGAATGGCGTCCCTCGACTGCTGCGCCTTGACCTCGAGCTCCGCCTTGCCATTGATGGCATCTGCCACGTTCTCGTAGATGCCGATCCATCGGCCGGTAACGGTGGGGTACCGCCCAGTGTACTTTTTCGTCTTGGGATCGAGGGTCTGGACGCTCGAGTCAAACTCGTCGTACGTCGTCAGCACGCCGCGCAGGTCGTCCGACTCAACGCCGAATCCCTCGTCAAGAGGCTTCGTGCCTGCCGCAATCTGTTCCTCCTGAGGGCAGGTGCTGCGTTGCTGGTGCTGGGCGGGTTTGTTAGTGCTGGTGTCGTTCGTCGATCAGGCGGGGGCGGTGCGAACCTTGATATACGATCCCTTGGTGCCCCTGACGTAGAACTTGAGCTGCTCCGCCACAGGACTCGTCACGGCCGTCTTGACGGTGACGAGGAGGTCCTTTTGCGGACCATCATACTGCAGGATAATCGTGAACGAGTCTTCCACCTCGCTGTCGATGCCTCGCTGCGCGCGGAAGAAGGCCGTCACCGACTTGGGTCTGCCGAACAGGGTGACAGCCTGGTCGACACTGTGGGTTCCTTTACGACGTTATCAGGTCTTTGTGATCATCGTCGGATAGGAAGGTGACGGAACCATACCCAGGCCAAAGGCCATGCCATCGCCGGGGGTGTACTTCGTTGCGGTCATCGTGTGAAGCCACGGCGCATTCTCAAAGTCGTAAACGATCTCCGCCTCCTTAACGTCACCGAGGGCCCCCTTGTGAACCAGCTGCCTCAGGGTCTGGAAACCGCCATCCTATACCCGTGTCAGTATTCTCTTTCCACCTCGGAACTAAAGTCATACCCATCGCCTGTTCTGGAAGCATGTGAGAATGCGCCCCTTTTTCAGAGCAAGTGCAATCGCCCGGTCGACCTCTTCGGCCGACCTGCCGAAGGGCTTGTCGACAATGACTATCACCACACTCGGTCAGACATGATTGGCCGTCGCTTTTATGTTCCGCTGCAGCCAAGACAAAAACATACCGTGCTTCCCCGCCTCGAGAGCCTTCTCCGCGAACGCAACGTGTGTATCCGTGTGCGTGGCGACGACCACAAAGTCAATATCGGCGTCTGCGAAAAAAGCGTCCGCTGTGCGGTGGTGTCGCGCCTTGGGAAAATCGACGGTGCAGTGCGAGCCAGCGGCGGCGGAGGCCGGATCGGCGGGAGCCTCGGCGCGCTGGAGAATGGCGACGACTTCGTAGTCGGGGATAGCACTTATAAAAGGAAGGTGGAAGCTCTTGGCGGCGAATCCGTAGCCTACAACGCCCACTCTGATAGGGGCCATGATGTCTGCCTGTTTAGTTATCGCGGATTGGTGAAGATGGTTTGGTCTTGATGGACACGGCAATGAGAAGTTTTTCTTCTGGAGACACAATGATGAGATTGAGCAAAGGAGATCGAGCAAAGGGCATTTGGTACCCGGTCTCTACTTATGCATGGTGCGACGTCCAGGCGATGAAGGTGCCATACGTCGGTGGACTCCAGCTCGCGGAGTCTCGGGGCTCCGGAGAAACTTCCCCCTCTTCACAGCTTTTAGCCCAACCAACTCCGAGGATGTGGTGCGGGGCTCTGACGAGAGGCATCAAACCGCCCTTAGCCTTAACTCCGGGAACCACACCAAGATCCAGCAACACCCAGAGAAACAATATCGCCACAACTTCTGTCACAAAGCATGCACGACCATAATAATAGCATACTCGAGACTTCGTTCGCTCTCTTCTAGATGAGTCAGGAGGAATACGATCGAAAGGAGGATCAGTCTCTGACGACCGTACACTGGATCCTACGCACCACCCCTGAGCGTTTGAGGTAAGTGACCAAGCGACGTCGTTCGACCTGCGGTCCTCTGGCGAGATATTTCCGATCCCATTACCGATCAAACACTGGAAAGTCAGAGGCTGGCCGCGTCTGGCTTGACGATAGCGTCGCCAAGAGCTGGTATGACACGCTCCATTACTTGAAAGGCTGTACTTCCAGCCCCTGTCGACGATCCCCGCAGAGTGAAGGACAAAAGATGAAGGCGTACCGTAAATATAATAGTTGTCCATGGTGCAAGCTCAGAAGAATCTGGGTTAACAACTTATCCTTGGTTGGTAGACGAAGGGCTATTTCCTCATCTATTTACAATGACGCCGTGCTTCTCTTTCGGGTTTGAATACTTCTTCTTGATTCTTTTTTCTTTCTTGGACGGCTTCACGGTTAACTTGGTCCTGAAATAATTAGGGGCCGGGAATAGCCGTCGAGGAGGCGGTGATGTATAAATAGCAGGAAACAGCATGTACTCCCTGTTTTACTGGGTGAAAAGGACAGTCCTCGTCGCAATTCCCTACAACTGTTTGTCTCTCCCAGTTGAGATCGCCTAGTTCTGTGATGCGTTCACCTCTTGATCGGGCTTGCCGAACGAATTCCCAGTCGAATTGAAGAACAGACGATAGTGGAGTCTTGTCTTGGGGCTGGGGATTCAAGACGTCATGTCGTTCCTAATTTTGGAGGAGAGCAAAGAAGCTTTCAACACATAGACTACAGCAATAGAACATAGATTGGGGGTCGAAATACATCTGGGTTATGGCCTTCCGCAGCTTGGAGGGCCCTCCGCGGTCCTTATGTACACGTTCTCGTAGTCCTCAACCCCCAATCAGCTCCCCTGTTCGGTTGCTCCGCACAGTTGGCTTTATTTAGCTATGGACGTGTTGGGTTGTGGGAAGCTTGGCCCTCAACAATCCGGTTCTAAATGAATTTGTCGTCTCGATACACGGTGAAGGGTCACGCTGTTGCTGCGTGGATGCGGACGGGGCCGTCGCCAGAGCAACTCATAATCGTCTGTGAGGGCGCAGACATCAAACTTGTCTCCATGTGCGGCAGCGCCATAGACTACCAGTAAATCCATTGGCCGCTCAAGGATTCCACGGTTCCAGATTACGGGAGTCCGACTGCAGCTGTCATGAGCGTGTCGGGGATCTGGGGGATCGTTGCGGCTTCTTCGAAGAAGACGGATGCGTGGTCGACGTGGCCCCCCTCCTTGCGTCTCCAACATCAGTCATGTCAGGCCAGATGTCCTGTCGAACCGAAGCGAACGGATTTGAAGTCACGCAGTACGATCACTAAATTTGCCCACGTTGTTGACTGGCAAGGCAACTGCTCCGTGGAAGTTTGTGCTTCTTTAGTCATCCGCGGCCGGGATCCACCATGTGTTCGCGCTAAGCTCGTATCTTTACGGCTGTTTAAACTCCACAGCCCTCGCCCAGACACAACCGCCTCCTGCACCAGTTAGTGACCATCCTCATGACGAGCATTGTTAGGAGGCGCAAAGCGCATAGTAAGTCTCGAGACGGGTGTTTGCAATGCAAAGAGCGCCACGCCAAGGTACCACGCATCCCCGTCTTTCCAGGGCTTTGGAGCTGAAGCCCCGTAGTGCAACGAGGTTCGTCCCCAATGCGGACCGTGTCACCGCGCCGACATATCGTGCAGCTACTCTGCACCGAGCCTGACAATTACGCCTATCAACGAAGATAGCGTCGCTGATCTGGAGCTCCTCGAGCAGTGGCACCGCCGTCAAATCACCGGCCATCTCTCTGATAGTGCCCGGAGCTTGGAGTCTGGTCTCGTTCGATTGGGTTTCTCGCACCACTATTTACTGAACAGTATCCTTGCCCTCACGGCATTAGAGCTCTACAGCGAAGACCAGTCTCGGTTCAAGTGGTAACGCAAGAGCCGTCGCTCACCATCAGACCGCGCTCAGTCGCGTCAAGCCGCACTTCAAGTCGCCTGAAGCCACGGACCAACAAGCGCTGCTGGGCTTCTCCGCGTTCACCTCCATGTACGCGGTGGCCGAGCCCTTCATGCGACCCCATCAACTGCGCGCTTTGCAGCCAACTCAGTTCGATCCCGTGGACGAGTTGCTGCGCGCCTTTCATTTCGGGCGATGCACAACGTCATTCGTGCAGCAAAGTTTCCCTCCGGCCCTGGTTTCAGAGTCCTGGCTTCTCCTGCCGTCCATGACACGGCAAGGCGATGATCTCCAGGGTACCACTGCAAGATTCCCACAGTTCCAGCCGCTCGTAGCGCGCGTCAGGCATCTCTCCGAAACTTCACAGGAGATGGCGTGTCTTTCGTCCATTTCCCAGCTCATTGAACGAATAGCTACCTTGGTTGATAATCCCGGAGAGCCCGAGAAGGGCAAGGTCATCTGGGGATGGGGTCTCGAGGTCCATCAAGACTTTCTCGACATGTGTTCGGCGCGGCACTCCGTGGCACTCGCCGTCTTGGCCCACCTGGCCGTCTTGATGACCTTTTACAGGGAGCACTGGTGTCTCAGGTCATGGCCTGCTGGGCTTCTAAGTCACATCAAGGGTGTCCTTGGTGATGAGTGGAGAGATGTAATTCAGTGGCCGTGCGATGTCGTGTTTGGATCAGTTGCAGTTGTATAAGGGTAGGCCATACGGAATGCGGCGTGAAATTGGTCCGAGGTGGGTTAGACCATTGGACGTCGAGTCAAGATTCTTTCTAAGCGGCGTAGGAACCTTAGTTCGCCGTATTGATACGGGAGGGTGGTCCACACAACTAGCCTACTTTGGGCTGGCCCGCGAGGCCCAAGATCTGTAAGCGGTGGTCAACATGAGAATGTCTGTTGGACAACGAGCCATCCGAAGGAGGTGAATAGGCCAGTGAAAGAAGATATAAAAGGAGTCTATGTAGTAGATGATTGACTGGGAATACATCATCATCATCAAGCATTCGCATTGCATCTTCCAACATCATACAAACTTCTCTCTCTCTCACTCACACTCAGACACACACTTCACAAACAACATGTCTCGATACACCGCCAGCTACGCTACGCCGAAGGGCCCTGGTGATGCTCGCCCTACAGCCCTTCAGATAATCGAAGACGAAGGTCGTGTTGGCCAGCTCACCGGCAAAGTCGCCCTCGTTACCGGTGCCAACTCTGGTATTGGTCTTGAAACAGCCCGGGCGCTCCACATTGCCGGCGTGACCCTGTATATCACTGCGAGGGACACGGCCAAGGCTGAGAAAGCCATCGAAGCCATCAAGAAGGATTCCAGCGCCAGCAGCGACGCACCCATCAAGGCGATCACCCTGCGCTTGGACTCTCTCAGTTCGGTGCGCAGCGCAGCCAAAGCTTTCCTTGACCAGAGCGACAAGCTCAACCTTCTTATCCTCAATGCCGGCATCATGTGCACTCCCGATGAGAAGACCGACGATGGATTCGAGCTGCAGTTCGGCACTAACTATCTGGGCCACTTCCTGTTGTTCCAGCTGCTGAAGCCTGCCCTGCTTGCCGGGAGCTCACCTGATTTCCATTCCCGTGTCGTTTCCGTCTCCTCCATTGCCCACAACGATAGTGGCATCCGCTTCGAGGACATTAACTTCGAGAAGACGCCGTACAACCCGTGGCTCGCGTATGGACAGTCAAAGACGGCCAACATCTACCTCGCTAATGAGATTGAACGTCGCTTCAGCTCCAAGGGGCTGCACGCTCTCTCTCTTCACCCCGGCGTCATCTTCACCAATCTGACCAACCACATGGATACGACAGAATGGGTAGCCTCCATGACCGACGAGGCCAAGGCCGACCTCAAGAGCGCACCTCAAGGAGCTGCCACAACAATCTACGCCGCTGTCAGCAAGGAGTGGGAGGGACGCGGCGGCAAGTATCTGAACAACTGCGCCGTTGACCCGCTCATTCCTGCTGGAAAGACCTGGCAGGAGGGCGCAAGTGGCCACGCGGCTTGGGCTTACGATGTGGAGAACGCAAAGAAGCTTTGGGACATTGGAAACGAGATGATAGGTTTCAAGGAAGAGTAGCTGGAATCGGGTAGTAACTAGCTTCCGGGCACGGCTTCTTGGTTTCAATACCGCGATGGCTTGCTACTTGGTTCGAAACGAAATATAGATTTAGCACCCTGGTGCAGATGCAACTGGCGTTGTCACTACCAAGCCCCTTCTCGGATCTACAATCCTTACGCGAGATCGAGATGAGACAAAGGAACCCGCAGTCGTGAACATTGTTCAATACGCATTAACCAACTGCCTTCACAGGAGTAAATAGCAAATGATTTCTTTTGAGTAAAGTGCCCAGCCGGCGTCAAGATATTTCATTCGTTGGTGACGAATATGAGCAGACATGTCTTCAGTAACACTTGATACAACCCCTCAGAAGGCGAACTCCGGGTGAAAGCCAGCCAGTGTGTTGCTGATAGGAATCATCTACATAGTCACGGAACTGCCAACGCTTCTCAAGCAGAGTCGAGACTGGCTCAAATCGTCGACAGAGGGCCCCCAGCCATCATGCTTCCCCCACGCCACCACACAGGTCTTTAGCAACCTTGTCGAGAACAAGTCGCAACTTCGAGTCATGGATACAATTTGCAGCTCAGGGGCTTGCCGTTGCTACGACGGCAATTGAATTGGTACTAGCATGAATCATTTGTATAATGCTAGTTCCACCAACGTTCATTTTGATTACTGGTAGTCTTGCTTAAAATATGGGCTTTTGTGGCCCGGTTCCGGCGCCCGTGAACGGAATTTTAAGATGAAAATCAAAGTCCCCTGAGCAGAACTGTAGCGCTCGAATGTAAGACTGGTCCAAAGTGGTATAGACAACCTGGACTGGAAGGGAAAGCCAACGATGTGAACGCTTACGTTGAAGCGCTCTTATGCCGTTCCTCGTCAACCTCCCTCATGTTTTCTTTAGCTTTGCTGCGCCGTTTCAAGGGCATGATCTGTCGTTTTCCTTTCCTGAGGCCGCCAGCAATTACACTAACCATCCGCCGCTCCCCTGTGAGATGGTTCACGATGAAAACGAGCAGGTATGCGAAAACAAAGGTCGGCAGGATCCAGGTGCTGGTGTGGTAATTGAAGAAGCCCATGGTGTTCTGAGAAACGCAGGCCACGAGACCCAATCCTAGGGCGATGAGGAAGTTGAAGATGACACGAAGAACGGCACCTTTGGTCCACCTCTCTTTTCTTGCAATGATGTAGAGGACATTCGCCATGGCTAGCACAGCGCCCCCGCAGACGAATGTGTACTGGAAGACGGTGCGAATCCGTTGATAGGAACGCCAGCTTACTGCGAAGTTGAAGCTCTGGTTGTCGAGTCCGGCCGTGGTAGGACTTGCCGAGGGGTCGATTTTCTCCGTCTCCACTTGATCGACGTAAAAGTCAATGCCGTAATTCAGACTGACAATGTTGTCAACAGTGAAGATGATGGTCTTGAGCCCTTCTTCCAAGGCCCTGATCGTTCCGTCCTGTTGGAGTGCTTCTTCTGCCGTCATGTTTGAACTTTTCACTCGTTGACGAGCGGCCGGGATATCGAGGCTCTCCAGTTCATCCAATGTTTTGATTATGGTTGAATGGTAAACATAGTAGCCTGGAGAATAGTCTTCGAAGAAATTCTCGACCCAATCTCTGTACGGCTGAACGAATTGACTGCTAGTCATTTGATCGCCGTTTTCTTCTAGACGCTCTCTCTCCTGAACTGTTTCTTCTCGAATAAGAGCCCAGTCGTGTCCGAGATTTCGAAGAAACTCAGAGGTCTTCCAGAAGATGATGTACTGTGCACATCCTTCGATGAACAGCGTGAGAGCTAGATGCAGAGGGAAATGTACAAGCGTCCAACTAATCTGTCGCCACCGCGAGGCATAGAGTCGTTGTAGCCAGTCGAAATAGATCATAAACACAAGATAGCTGATAGCTATGCAGGCAGATACTACTCCGATAGTGTCATAGGCTGAAGCGCACGAAGTCAGTTCGCAGTATTTCTGGGAAGTGGGACTGCATACTCCACGCATCGTGTCCGTCCGCGTTCACTACCTTGGTAATCGAAGCACAAGCCACGGTGATGCCTTCGCCGAAAAATATCAGGGTGAGAAGGCTCAGTCTTCGCATCAACGGGGTAGCCTCAAAGCTGAGGACAGGGTAGAAGACCGACATGCCGAGCGCAGTCAAGATCTCAACTAAACACAGACGACTTAGTCTAGGGGTTTTGTCGAATTCAAGCATTTCAATGATCATACCTGCACAGACAGGAAACCAGCTATAGAATACTCGGTCAGCCTGATCGTCAAAGCGAAACGTTACAATGAGATATATCATCGCATTGAAGGTGTTGATCAACACCATCCAGATGAGGGGAGCTCTCATTGCTTTGTGTCGTCGAGCGTGAAAAACGACGCTGCCATACTCGACAGCGAGACAGAGCCGAGAAACCATCAATATGAGAGCTAGAGCATTCCGTCAGTCGAAAGGAGGCCAATTCATATATGAGTGTGCTCTCACAGAAAGTCCGAAAAACCCGGAAGTCCTGGTCATTTGGATCGAAGTTGGGTGAAACAGTTACAAAGCCGACAAATACTGCAAAGTGAATCCCACGACAGCAGCGCTCAAAAATACTGTCGGTCACATAGCGAACATCGTACATGCTGGTCAAAAACCAGGTCGTCCAGAGAAGACTGCCTCTAAAGTCAGTCCTTAGGTATTTCCAGCAGCCGCAAAGGCTTAGATGGAGATCTGACCAAAAGAATCCAACATATGCAGAGAGACCATCAAGCGTAGCCATCTGCTGGTTTTGATTGAAAAGGTTCAAGCACTGTCGCGATTAGTGACTGTTGGGCAGGACAGATACTCAGAAGCACGCTCACAGCCTGATGTCGGTCAGTTTTTGCGATGGAGAAATGGCTGTGCAGGGGTGTTTTCTGTGGAAGCTTACAGCAAAGAAAAGGTCGTAGAACACTTCAAGATTCGTAGCGTCGTCGTTCTTTCTAAGGACAGGCTGGTCGTCGCCCGTCACGTTGTGTCGAGCATCGCTGCCATTGCTTCTTCGCGTGATCAAAAATGGGCTTTCAAGGAACTTAAGTTTCTCGGATGCCGTTTCGATCGGCAACTCATCCGACAAACTTTGGCGATCACTTTGCATCGGACTGGACTGGCTGGGGATGACCACGAAAATTGGCGAATGCCGCGAGGAAGAATCCAGAGTATACACGGAAACCTATTGACCGCAGTGTTGCGGAGCTTGCTGATGATAAGACACCTCATGGTGCCGTGCCCTTCTACCTAGTAAGTGCGACACCTCAGACGTCACAGGCTCCAACACTACAAGTGGTATGCAGCCTGATACGCGGGTCACATATTTGCAGCCACAGGCTCAGGATCCTTCTACCCTCGATTCAATTGCACTGGCCACTGTGCTTTAGCTACTGGCGGGCTCACGTTCGGACGATGATTGGTGGTAGCCGCTGGTGTTGTGCGCTGATCTCATCCAAGGTTTTGTCGGATACGCGTATTTGATAGTCCACTTTTCCACTCGTCGACGAGGACGTCATTGCGCGTTCGTTATGTAAGCAGTGTCAACAGTTCAGGTCAAGACAGCGTAGATGTGTACACTTTGTCCCGCATTCACTTTCTATCATGCTTCAATCGACTAGCAAGCAGTGTGCATAGGTCGCCATGGTTGATAAGCCTTGAACCGTCCGTAACCAACGACTAACACGTTTCGTGCCGCACTCATTTGCGGCACGGTCGTCAGGAGAGATGACTGGCCTGTTCTTCTTGCGAACATCTTTCCATTTCATGCCCCAGGCGGAGAAGACGCCTGCACTCGAAATGACAGCTGCAAGACAGAATACCCCAGTGAAAATGATTGAGTACGCCTGGAGCACACTTCGCAAGCCAGCTTGTGTAACGAAATGTCTATAAGGCAACGGCTCTGCCGCCAGCAGCTATCACAGCGCTGGCGGCAGTTTTGATGCTCAAGATCCGTTAGGAGACCCTTGCTGGCCTTTGGCACAGAGGGCTAGTCAGGGGCTTTGGCTGCGAGAACTTATATAAGGACTGTGGAGGGTTAGAACTCAGATATGGTATATCCCTATATCTATTTTACATTGTCCGCGGACCACGCTTGGAAGATCTCTTCACTCTACTTCAAATGAAGCACTGATAGAATCCGAACGAGGCTCGCAGGCAGTCTAGGAGGATGTTGCCGCTGGAGAAGGTTGCACGTCTGAAGGTCTGCGCAAAGACCAGAAGAGCTGGTCCAACACACAATTGGGCTGGCTGGTGTCTGGTCTCATACCGTTCAATATCCTGTCGGTGAATAGGACATGAGGGGCTGAGGCCTCGACACTACTGCCTCGGAAAAAACGGAACGGAGTTCAGAATCCCGGCCCCACTCTAAGAGTCAACCGAACTTTATTCCAATGCCTTGTTACATAAGCAACACCAAGCCCGATGCGGATAGAACACGGATTTCGGATAGTCCGATGTCTTGAATCCCGCTTTGATGGTCCCATGCTTACTTTCCAATCCAGAAATACTGATTCGAGGCTGTCTTCTGCTGAGGCAAATATCCTTATTACTGCGTCTCCTTCAGGTCACAAGGCTTGGCGGACCGGCTTTCATCAACATACTCACCGTCGGTAACCAGAGAGGTGTTCATCCCGCGGCCGGTGGCCGAACTTGGGCAGCCCCCAACCCATAACCACGAGCCCTCCAAGCCACGCCAACACGGAAATGGAGTCTGTCTCCGACGGTACCCCGGCGCCTTATGGCAGGGCTTGTACTAACTGCGCTAAAGCCAAGTGCAAATGCACGCTGAGGAGCGTTGGAGGCGCATGTGAAAGGTACGACAATCGTGCTGTCCATCTTGAGTGACTCTGGCAACAGCCTGACCCTCATTCATCCCACATGGCTTCTTGAGCCTGATCGTCTCGCTGACACCTGAACTAGGTGTCATCGACTCAGCAAAACATGTCAGTCAGCATCCAGCGTAAGAAAACGATCCAAGAAGCAAGTCAACAGTCGTACTGCTCATCTGGAGAAGAAGCTAGATCATCTTGCTGTTCTCCTGAGGGCCTCAGGGCATGGAAACCTCTCTACAGATCTTGAAAGTTCCGTGTCAGGTGACCCCGCCTCTTTAACTGAAGGATCAACAACACCACATGAGGACGCAAACTATGCATCAATATCTCAGTCCACAAATCCAATTTGCCAGGGCACACCGGCCTCATCTACACAAGTTCATGGCGGAATCTATAGCTACAGTCTCACGTCTGGGCCTGAACCTACACAACAAGAGGCCGAACTTCTTTTCATAAATTTTCGAGACGGTCATTTGCGATACTTTCCCTTTGTCGACCTCTCACGGTATGCCTCAGCACTACAAATGCGTCAGGAGCGCCCATTTCTCTGGCTGTGTATCATGGCCATCTCGACGCGGTCAAGACCTCTACAGCTGGATATGAGCGAGCGCATCCGATGGATAATCAGTCAGAAACTCATGATGGAACATGAAAGAAACATGGATTACCTTCTTGGTCTCATTGCATTCATGGCGTGGTGGGTAATCGTCACGACAAGATGAACCTAAAACAGTGAATATGGGAGCTGACTTTGTTTCGCATGCGTGCAGGATCAACGTACAACCGGGCTCAAAGCCCTTCTTTTGCTTCTACACACAACTCGCGATTGCGCTAGTCTACGATCTTGGCCTCACCAAAGAGCTCTCTAAGTTCTCTACACCACTTTTGTATTGGAAATCCATCGGCCTCAACAGCCCCTGCTCTACCCTCTCTCCCCCACGGACAATGGAGGAACGACGCACCGTCTTGGCAGCATATCTCCTGAACGCAACGTAAGCTTTGCTCTCGCCTGTAGGTAGCTTGTTTCTTGAGACTGACGCCACCAGTGTTGCATCCTTTGTCAAGAAAATGGACATTATGCGCTGGACAAAACATATGGACGATTGTCTGGACGTACTCGAGAAGTCAGAAGTGATACCAAACGACCGCGCCCTTATAGCCATGGTAAGAATGCAGCTCATTCACGACGAGGCTACCAACATCTATTCGCCTCGCGACACGATAAGGTTGGCCTCACCACCACCTACTTTTGTACTTCAAGGGCGCTGGTCCTTTGGAAGCTACACGCAGTTTATCAGGTTCTGGCACAAGAGGCCAAAGGCAATGGTA